CACACACACACACACACACACACACACACACACACACACACGAGAGAGAGAGAGAGAGAGAGAGAGAGAGAGAGAGAGAGAGAGAGAGAGAGAGAGAAATACATAGCCTTGACCAACTCAGTTTTCCTCTCTTGAGTAATGTTCATTCTTGTGCTTAGCTACTTATGAGTGATACATTGTTTACAATTTTTACTGAAGGGTTTTTTTGTGTGTGTGGGTTTTTTTTTGGGGGGATTGGAGATTGAGTTTCTCTGTGTAGCCCTGGCTGTCCTGGAACTTGCTCTGTAGACCAAGCTGGCCTTGAACTCAGATTCTCCTGCTTCTGCCTCCCGAGTGCTGGGATTAAAGTATAACCTGAGACTGTGTTTATGTTTTCCGGCTGCCCAGACCTGAATAATCACAGAGAAACTATGTTAATTATAACACTGCTTGGCCAATGGCTTAATCGTATTTCTAGCTAGCTCTTATATCTTAAATTAACCCATTTCTATTAATCTGTGTATCACCATGAGGAAAATGCCATTTGAACCTTGAAGAGACTAGAATGTAGTACATAAGATCCATTGATTTGACACCAGAAAAACCAGTTTTGAGTCCTGCTTCTGTCATAGCTAGGTCCTTTCCTATCTTTGGTTTCTTTATCAGAAGAATAGGAACAAAATTAGGACTGGCAAGGGATTTATTTATTATTTGAGATAGGATACTATGCTTGGGCCAACTTGGAACTAGCTATATTGCTCAGGATGGCCTTGAACTCCTGATCCTCCTGCCTGTAAATGGATACTGCTCTTTGGTTTCCTGGCTGCCCAAACCTGAATAATCACACAGAAACTAATTTAACTACAACATTACTTGGCCAATAGTTTAGGCTTCTTTAATTAACTCTTACATTTTAAATTAACCAATTTCTATTAATCTGTATATCGCTACAAGGCTGCAGCTTACTGGGTAAGGTTCTGTTCTAGTGTCTTTCTCCTTTGGCAGCTATATAGCATCTCCTGCCTACTCTCTTTCTATATTTCTCTTCAGACTTCCCGCCTGGCTTTACTCTGCTAATCCATCAGCCAAAACAGCTTTATTCATTAACTAATAAAAGCAACACATAGAAAGACATCCCACATCATTAAAGGTGTACACCCCCACTGCTCAGCTTGCTCTGAAGTATTATAAGAGTTGGATAAGCAATCAAAATGGGACCATCAAAATATTGTCTATCAAGTGTTCATGGTACTTGAAGGTCCTCTGCATACTACCAGAGGAGAAGGGAAATCATCAGTATCTCCCAGCTACAAGCTCTGCAACCTACAA